ACAACACGAACAATACATGGTTAAAAAGCACAACAATCATACCATTCGAGATAGGGGCAGCGAATCTTTAGCCCCAGACCTGTTGGAACAGCCAGGTCTTAAGAGCTATGCGGAAGGCCTGGAGGGTGGTGAGGGTACGAATCTCCACGGGGAGTTCGTTCCAAGGGGTCGGAGCAGCCACAGAGAAGGCTCTCCTCCGAGTAGTCGCCAGTCGACACTGGCCGGCAGATGGAATTCGGAGGAGGCCTAGTCTGTGGGATCTAATTGGTCTAGTGGAGGTAATTGGCATGTGGAGAATTCTAAAACGGAGTGGATAATCATTTACCTATCAAATTTATATAACTGCCCATTTTGTATGGTTTGAGGGCTGCATTGGTTCAGTAATTCAGTCTTCATTGGCATCAGAGGGTTTTGTCCAATGATATTACCAGGTAAATGGGACATTTTTGAGAGGGTGGAATGTGTTCTTTTTTAAATTAAAGTGAAATGAAATTTTAAAAAAATGAACTCCCAAAATGGAAACAAAACACCCCCACAATTGAATATTTACCAATGTCAGGGTTAAGATCTAAGAATATTTGGGGGGCCAGGTACACTCTAGTGCAGTGGTTCCCAAACTTGGCAACTTTAAGACTTGTGGACTTCAACTCCCAGAATTCTCCAGCCAGCAGAGCTGGCTGGAGAATTCTGAAAGTTGAAGTCCACAAGTCTTAAAGTTGCCAAGTTTGGGAACCACTGCTCTAGTGGATCATAGGCTACTTACCTGATTTCAAGCTGGTAGGAAGTTTGTTAAAGGCTTCAAAGTAGATTAGACAAAGTTTTCCATGACACCACAAGTCCCACGGGTCCTGCTCCTATAAATCCCAACACCTTCCTACATCTTCAACTAGAATTCCTTGCAAAGCCAGAATTCTCGGGAATACCCGCTGAATGACTTGGTTCGATTTGCTCTAAAGAAAGTCAACTGATAGGGAGCCCAGCTATAGAGGGCACATCTAGCCACCATTAGCCAATCTCAAAAAGCCAAGCAAGGCTGGAATTGGTTTACACTTGAAAGAGAAACAATCAGAAGTCCTGGGAATATAAACCAGATTGGGAAGACCAAAAAAATCTCAGAAGGCAACAATGACAAGCCACTTCTGTATTATTTGCCAAGAAAACTACATGGATATGTCCAGGAAGTTACCAGGACTCAAAGGAAACTTGACCTTCAAACTTGGCAGGACTTGATCTTTTTGAACACAGGATGTTGGTTTTTGACTTTCATCAAGCCAGTTCTTCTATCTCCCGCTGGAAGAAAAGAAAATGGAACACTGTGTGCTATTATGTAGTTTCTCTAGAGGCCACCTGTATTGTCCTGGGAAGTGTTGGACAGGCAGTCTCTACACAGCAGCCTATTGGCTAACCACTTCATTGCTTTCAGCCTAAGACTGAGATAGTCCAGGTACCACAGAGTATATATAGGTGGTCCTCAACTTACGACTCAAAAAAAAAACCCTTAACAATTGATGTTGTTAAGTTAGATTTGGCCCATTTTATGAACTTCCTTGTCAAAGTTGTTAAGTGAATCATTGCAGTTGTTAATACACATGGTTGTTAGGTGAGTCTGGTTTCCCCATTGGCTTTGCTTGTCAGGAGGTCACAAAAGCTGATCATATGGCTCCCAGGACACTGCAAGCGTCATAAGTAGGAACCAGTTGCCACGTATCTGCATTTTGATCATGTGACCAGGGGGGTGCTGCAACAGTCGCAAGTGTGAAAAACGGCCCTAAGTCACTTTTTTCACTGCTGTTGTAACTTTGAACAGTCACTACAGGAACAGTTGTAAGCTGAGGACTTGTATATGCATATGCCTGGAGGAAATTTTTGTACGAAT